TATATATATATATATATATATATATATATATATGTTTATTACATTTTTCAGCTAACAATGTCACCATTAATTTATTGGGTCAATGCATTCTGAGGCAGTGATGTACGTTCGGTTTTAGTGAAGACTAAAACACAGGGAGTCGAGGATAAAATTTATAACGTGACAATAAAGTTCAGTGTTTCCCCTACCATTATACAGGCGGGGTGCCCCACCCCGTCAACAGAACTGAGCACCCTGCCTACCAAACTGAACTTGCCCCTCCCACCCGGCACTGACATATCACTAAGCTAGCAGCGCAAAATACAGGCTCTCTAGCTAAAAAGCCAAAGGCAGCACTCACATTGCCTCTTCCCTCATGTTGAACGCCCCCCGTCCTTGCTCAAAAACTATTAGTACAAGCTGCGCTCAGACATGTCTCTGTCCCCCGCATCAGCAAAAATCATGGATGAGATGAGCAGCCCGCCATGGCAAGCTAACTAGGGGAAACACTGAAGTTATATTATGTATTAGTCGTTTTGCACAAAATATGGGTCAAAACAATCAAATGTGGTCAACTTGTGATCTTTAATTTATTAGCTCTGCAGCTAACCCCATTTATATTAGCTTTGGAGCTAACACTATTAGCTCTTGGAGCTAGCATCATATATATTAGCTCTGGAGCTAGCATCATGTATATTATCTCTTGAACTAGCATCATGTATATTAGCTCTGGAGGTAGCATCATTTATATTAGCTCTGGAGCTAGTGCCATTTATATTAGCTCTGGAGCTAGCGCCATTTATATTAGCTCTGGAGCTAGCATCATGTATACTAGCTCTGGAGCTAGCATCATGTATATTAGCTCTGGAGCTAGCATCATGTGTATTAGCTCTGGAGCTAGCATCATGTGTATTAGCTCTGGAGCTAGCATCATGTATATTAGCTCTGGAGCTAGCATCATATGTATTAGCTCTGGAGCTAGCATCATGTGTATTAGCTCTGGAGCTAGCATCATGTTTATGAGCTCTGGAGTTAGCATCATGTATATTAGCTCTGGAGTTAGCATCATGTATATTAGCTCTGGAGCTAGCAACAGGTGATTAATTTCGCCATTCTCCTCTGTCATTGTGCTCCGGTTTAAATATTATTTATCCAGAATGCATTGCAGCTTAAATGAAATGGTGATGTCATGTCATAAATTTAAAAAATAATTATAAAACCTAAAGAGCCTACAGTATTTTTATGGTCTTGTTTTTGTATCTGAAGTAGCTGTTTCTCGGATAAGATCTATTACTTCAACTAACCAAAGATCCTTTTAACAAACAAACAGCCACACTTCAGTGAATTTTACAGACATTGAGCTAACATCTGATGTGGTAGTATCTGAGTCGTTCACAACAGAACTTCTAGTGCTAACAGATCCAGAGAGAGGGTTCTTGTCATTTAGAGGTTTGACCAAACGGCTACATATTGTTCTGTTAATGAGATCATCTCAGATGGTCATATATTCTGTAAGAATCAGTTTTTAAAAACTTGTTTTGTTTCTCAGCATCTCCTCCATCAGAGTGTCCAATGCACAGAGCCGAGGCGGGTCCGGCCCACCAGGACCGGGCCTATGAGTTTGTGGAGTGTCCCATGAAAGCTGCAGCGGACCTGAAGAGCGACATCGATCCAGCAAACATGGTATCAGAAAGAGCTAAACCGTACTGAGGGACAAAATCTAATCTAATCTGAGAACTGTCTTTACCTGTGAGAATGCACTGTGGTTTATTACTGCTGAATGATTTGAGCTGAAACCAGCTGAAAAGCTTCACGTCTAAACTGTTAATGTGAGTTGAATATGAACAGCTGACGTTTGCTTAAAAGAAAAATAAAGCTGAAAGCAGCAAACAGCTGAAATGTGTTTTTAAAAAGTGAATGGAGCAGAAATGTTGCAGAATAAGCTGAAATAGACGGAGAGGCTGAAAGGGTTACAAAAAATATGAAATTAGCAAAAACAACCTGAAATGAGCGGGATTAAAGCTAAAATTAGAAGGAAAAAAGTAGCTGAAAAAGCTTTTTTTTTTAAAAAGCTGAAAGGAGCACAACAGAATGAACTGATTAGTTCAAACGCTGTAAAACAAAACAATTTTTTAAACAAATATTTAGCAGAAAAACGTGGGGAGTGGTGGTGCAGAGGTTGGAGAAGGTGGGCTTGTGATCGGAAGGTATCCGGTTCAACTCCCGGTACCGACAACTTCAAAATGTGGGTGGAGTTGGTGATCACTCACACCTGCCTTCACCCTCATTTGTCCCACTCTAAGCCCTTGAGCAAGGCCCGTAAGCTCCACCATCTGCACCCTTGGGTGCCTAGATGGCAGCTCTCTGCTCCACACAGAGGGCTGTGGTAGCGCGGTGGTCTGCGGTTGTGTCAGGAAGGTTCATGTGAGTTAGTTCACTGCGGTGACCCCTGAAGAAGAGAGCAGCCGAAAGAAGAATTTTTGTTTTTGCAGAAAAACGTCTAAAATTAGCTGAAAGGGTCAGATGAAAGAAAAAAATCAATTTGCAGAAAGGAGCAAAAAAATAGCTGAAAAAGCTGAAATGAGCTGAAATGAGCTGAAAGCTGAAGGAAGTTGAAACGAGCTGTAAACGGCGCAAAGGGTTTGAAGGATGTCGAGGTTCATTTTTAGTGAGAAAAACATGGCCGACAAAGCTGAATATTTCTAAAAGTAAAAACTTCTCAAACAGCAGAAGGAATGTCCCGAATGAGCCGAACGTTTTGATTCATGAATTGCTGACCAGAACAAAAGCTGTGGAACAATGTCCGAGCTGAAGAGCACGTCTGAACTGTGAGAACGATGTAGGAACATTCAGACGTTGACGCATCAGAGAGTCACATTCATGTTTTCATTAAAGGATTTATTGACAGCGTGTGGACTGCAGCTCGGCCTGAAGGCTCCTTCAGCTGATCTTCACGTGTTCGCGCTCTGTGTTCCAGGCAGTGATGTGATGCTTTACGTTCTGTTTGCTCCGTGCACAGATGCCTCCTCCAAACCAAACTCCAGCTCCAGACCAGCCCTTTGAACTGTCCATTTCTAGACAAGAGTCCAACATTCCCCGACACAACACGGACAAAAACTGGGTTTATCCGTCGGAGCAGATGTTCTGGAACGCTATGCTGAGAAAAGGGTGAGGAAGATCTTACGTTCTGTTACCAACCATCTTTACCTGCTTGTTCTTTCTTCTCCGGGAGTTGGTGTCTGTCTCCATCAGTCACAGTGTGAGAGGTGGAGACACCTGGACAGGTCTCCAGTCCATCGCAGGGACACATGGAGACAAACAACCATTCTCTCTCTCACGGGATCATTTAGTTACCAGTCAGCCCAACATGGAGCTTTTTGGTCTGAGAACATCCAGATGTGCACGGAGAGAACGTGTACAGTAAACTCCACCCAGACCAGGAGGCCAGCAGCCAAGATAAAATGTCTTCTCATGCAGAACTGGTCTTTTAGAAAAACATTGACATGCAGTGTTTTATTCTGAAAAATACTGGACTTCCTCCTGATGAGTTCAAACCTGGTGAAGCTTGCTGGCAGCTCAGCGGACGGTCCTGTGAGGTCCTGAGGCTGCAGGGCTGAGCCCAGGTCAGGACACTGGAGGGCGTTCAGAATGAAATCATTACTAAATCTGTCGTTCGAGTTCACATCTGGAGAAGAACAATGATTTTATGTGATCTCAGTGTTGATGAGACTCTGAATAATGAACACATGAATGGTGCTGCTGCAGTCTCTCTCTGCAAGCAGCACCACAGTCCTCAGAGGAACTGAGTCTGATGCTCCAGCATGTTGTCCATGTCGTCAGAAGATCATTGTTCTAATGAGAAAATGTCTCTTCCTGAATGCAGGTGGCGCTGGCGAGATGACGACCTGGCTTCTAATGACATGAGCAACATCATTAAGATCCACAACCAGAACAACGAGCAGGCCTGGCAGGAGATCCTGAAGTGGGAAGCCCTGCACGCACGGTAATCCAGAACACCTCGTCACTGAGGTGCTACTGTCAGCATGGAGTTGAAGGTCACCAGACCAGTTCAGATAAGGTCAGGGGCAGGGGGGGGGGGGGTGTCTCCTCACAGACCAGGACCGTCTCAGTGTGGGTCGGTCTGAAGAAGTCTACAGGTCATGGAGATTCTGGATCACCATCGGAGCACGACGTGAGGCTGTCGAAAACCAGAGGTGACTTGATCCAGGCCCTCAAAGCAGCAGCACACCAGGAGGATGGACCACCATGTCAGTGTCTGCAGAGGGGTTCAGACCACCACACCCTGCAACAGGGACAGCACCACGTCCTGAACAACGTCCTGAACATTTTGAGGACATCCACCAGTCAGAAGTCATGTCCCTGTCCCCCCAGCTGAAGAAATCTCTGTGACTTTGTTTTTCTCTGTGGATGTGACAGAATAAAACTCTGACCCTCCGTGTCTTGTCTCATGAACATGTCTTCTGTCTTGTGTCCTGACAGCGAGTGTCCATGTGGACCCACACTCAAGAGGTTTGGTGGGAAGGCCAAAGAGTTCTCCCCCAGGGCCCGATTCCGCCACTGGATGGGGTGAGCCCTTCTGTTGATTCTTCATGTTGAAAAATGTTTGAATCAGTGTCCTCCATGAACCCAGCAGCTGGTGGGGCGGGTGTTAGGCGGGCTTTGGGTCTGTTCGGCAGAGTGGCAGCAGTCTGAGCGTCCCTCTGTGTCTCTGCAGGTACGAGCTGCCTTTCGACCGTCACGACTGGATCGTGGACCGCTGTGGGAAGGAGGTGCGCTATGTCATCGACTACTACGACGGGGAGGTGGACAAAGACACGTTCCAGTTCTCCGTCCTGGACGTGCGTCCTGCGTTTGACTCCTTAAATGCCGTGTGGGACCGCATGAAGGTGGCCTGGTGGCGCTGGACCTCCTAACACGTGGGGATCAGGACTCACAAAGACTGCAGAGTGTAGGTCTGCTGAAAGATCAAACTACGCCTAAAAGAACCAATAAACTGTAGCAGTTCTGGTTTCAGTCATGGTTTGTCCTTCAGGTCACGTGACTGCTCCATACGTTTCCTTGCATCAGGTTTGAACAGCATGATGACGTCATAGTGATGTCAGAAACACGAGGCACCGTCACGGCGTGAATCTGAGCTCAACAGTAACGGGTCTCATGTGGTTCTAAAGGTTCTGACCGGGTGGATGTTCAGGGTCAGACCTGAAAGAGGAATTTAAACTCAGTCACTTCGTGTTCACTTTTAATTTATTGTTTCTCCATGTGAGCACGCAGACTCCATGTTTCTCATCGTCAGTAAAGTCCTTTCACTCATTTGTTGTTTGTTTGTTTTTAACTACAGTTTACACTGCAACGATACTAATAACCAGAAATCTGTTTTTATTAGTGAGACTTTTTAAACGTGTTTCTCAGATCAAACTTGATCCAGTCCAGGGACACCAGTGTTTTATCCCTGTTTCCAGTACGTCTGCTCACAGGGAGGAGTGGTTCCATGGGCTCATAACTAAATATCGTTAACATGAACCAGTTCAGAATGTGTCATAAATATGAATAAAAACAGAATCTGTGATGTGCTGAGCTTATTTTGTTCACACTGGAACAAAGGAATAATTCAAGGTTAAAACGAAGTATACTTAAATTTTTAGGAAAACAGGATCATTTTGAATTTGATGGCAACATCTGATGGTTGTAGATGTTCAGCTGTTCTTCAGTTTCCTGTGAGAAGAACCCTTGCTTCTTTAACAACAGTGTTAAGGTCCAGGACCTTAGGAGACCAGCTGGGGTTTTTGGAGGGCCTGAGTCCAGTTGGAGATTTTGAAGGATCTGAGGAGACCACTTGTTGGTTATGAAGGACTTGTGGAAACCAGTGGTAGGAGCTTTTGGAAGCACTGCGGAGACCAGTTGGAGGTTTTGAATGACTTGAAGAGACCTGTTGTTGCAGTGTTCTAAGGACTTGAGACCAGTTTTTGGAGGACCAGAGGAGACTAGCTGTTGATTTTGAAGGACTTCGGGAGACCAGTTGCAGTTTTTGAAAGACTTGAGACCAGTTGCAGGAGATTTTGAAGGAACTGAGAAGACTAGTTGGAGAGTTTGCAGGACTTGAGACAGTTGTTTGGTTTTGAAGGAGCTGAGGAGACCAGTTGTTGGAGGGAAGGTTGTCCCATTCTGGTGTCGCGAAGAATTCAAACTCTTCTACAGTCTTGGATGTTCTTTGACTGACTTCTGGACCACAGGCAGGTCAGACCAGGACCTGGACTATGAAGTCCTGCTGTTTTACTGGATGCAGGTTGAGTTTTATTATTGTCCTGATGACAGATGCAAGGTCTTCTCTTAAAAAGATGTCTGGATGGGAGCAAATGTTCTAAAACCTAGAGAGACAGATGTGTAAGCTGTCCATGCCAGAGGCACTAATGCACCCCCATACCATAAGAGAGGCACACTTTTGAACCATGAGCTGACAACAGGCTGGATGGTCCCTTTCCTCTTTAGTATCAGACGATGTGGTGTCCATGATTTCCAAACAGAACTGGATTGGACCAGTCTGACCACAGAACAGTTCTCCACTTTGCCTCAGTCCAGTTGAAATGAGCTTTGGTCCAGAGAAGACAGAGCAATGGTTCTGGATGGTGTCACATCTGGTTTCTTGTTTGCCTGATAGAGCTTTAAGCAGCATTTCTGGATGAACTGTGTTTACAGACAACGATCAGTGTTCCTGAGCCCAGAATGGAAGCAGACCTGGTTTTAATGCAGTGGCCCCTGAGGGCCCGAATCAACATGGCACATTATCTTTATAGATAGAACAGAAAAGCACTTCTGATTCACGGCCAACTAAATGCTTATTTTCTCTAAAAACTATTTATCACACTTAATCAGGCTCTGTAAGAGGTGTGCTTCAGTCCGCCTGTACTAATGTGTGTGTCAGCACTGATGAGGCCCTGGGCTGCCACTCATCATCTTTAAGCCAACAGAGCTTAATGCTCCTGCGTCAGAATAGAATCTAACCTTATTGAACTATTTTCACCACTTATCATAAATTCAGTCTTCAGGTCATAATGAAATAAGTTTTCACACCTCAGTCTACAGTCTTCATACGTTATCTGTCTGGCCCTTTAGTCTCTGGTCCGTCTGACTGTTGTCTCAGTCCAGTGACCCTGATAATCATAACAGGTTGTTTTTGTTTTTTAATATCTCAGAAAAAAAATCCACGCAGACAATATCTGCCTTGCACAAAGACACTTAACACTTTGTGTTGATAACACTTTTTGTACAGGTGCTGGTCATGAAATAAGAATATCATGAAAACGTTGATTTATTTCAGTAATTCCATTCAAAAAGTGAAACTTGTATATTATATTCATTCATTACACACAGACTGATATATTTCAAATGTTTATTTATTTTAATGTTGATGACACTGAACAGCATACACAACATTACTCTGTCCTGATGACTGTACCACAGAGCAGACAGCGTCCCCACTAGCTCAGGAGCCAGGCAGAAGGAGAAATCCCACACAAGACAGGCTCTAGAGCAATGTGGATATCCTAACTGGGCCTTCCTGAAAGCAGAGAAGAAACCCAAACAGGACTCCAGTCAGCCATCAGGTGAAAAGGAGGAACCCAGACCCAGACCAGTGGTCATTCCATATGTTGAGGGAGTATCAGAGAAACTGAGACGTTTATTTTCTAAACATAACGTCCCAGTGGCTTTTAAACCCCAAAATACATTACGGCAAAGACTGGTTCATCCCAAAGATCCAGTCCCCCAGCACAAACAGAGCAATGTGGTGTATGCTGTTCAGTGTCAGGAGGGTGATCAGTCTTACATCGGGGAAACTAAACAGCCACTGGCCAAAAGGATGGCCCAGCACAGAAGAGCAACACCATCAGGCCAGGACTCAGCGGTCTACACTCATCTCCAGGCCAGGTCCAGGTCACTCGTTCAGGAATGAAGATGTTCACATCCTGGATAGACAGGAACGATGGTTTGAGAGAGGAGTAAAGGAGGCCATCTTTGTGAAAAGAAATCGTCCATCATTAAACAGGGGTGGAGGCCTCCGGGTTCAACTGTCCCCCTCTTACAATGCTGTGATTGCTAGTATCACTCAGCCCTCTGTGAATAGTAAACAGCCATCAGTGTGCTAATGATCTATTGTTAGGCTGATGGTCCTTCTTGAGCATGTGATCAGCTGGTTTTG